GGACCGGCCCATAGATTTCCACTGCTCTCCTCTCCTCTGCCTTCTGTACATCCGTGCGTCAGGTACTGGACTCAGCTGTTCCTCCTCTTCCTCATCAGCCACCTCCAGACCTGGGGGCTGTTGACTCTCCATCTGAGGGCTGACGGACGGCCCAGGCTCCGCCTCTCTCTCTCTCTCTCTCTCTCTCTCTCTCTCTCTGCCAGCTCCATTCCCTCTTCTTTTCCCTCGGAGCTCTCCGATTGCCTTGATGCTGATCCTGATTCCGTGCCTCCTCTTCCTCCTCTGATGTTCAGAAGTGCCTGTGGCTGAAAGTCTTCCTCAAATCCCATCGTAATCTCACTCTGATTTTGAAATGCAACCCAGAGATGTTATGTTTTCACCCCAGCCCACCTTTTACAATTGATGGGGGCCATGTCCCCCTACTGCTTTCTATGAACGCTACTTTGGGGTTGCAGGATGCGAGTTCTCTTAGGCGCAGAACTCTCCCCTTCTGACTCAGTCTTCTGTGTCATCTTAAATTCTCCGTATTAGCCCTGGGAGCTAATAACCACAATCGAGCTCTTCCCTTGGAAAGAGTCCCTACAGGGATATATCCTTACCTCAAATGCATTACAGGTAGTCCTTGACTTACGACAGTTCATCTAGGGACCGTTGGGAGTGACAACGGCTCCGGAAAAAAGCGACTTATGACTGTTTTTCACACTCACGATCGTTTGCGGCATCCCCATAGACCGTTGGTCAAAATTCGGATGCTTGTTAACCGACTCATATTTATGACGGTCTCAGTGTCCCAGGAGGTCATGCGACCTCCAGACAAGCAAAGCCTGTTTCACAGAACAATCGTCTTACTGACTTAACAACTGCAGCGATTCACTTAACAATTGGGGCAAAAAAAGGTCGTAAAATGAGGCAGAATTCATTTAACCAATGTCTCGCTTAGCAACCAAAATTTTGGGCTCTATTGCGGTCGTAAGCCGAGGACTACCTGAACTTAATAAGCTCTCTGACTCTTTTTTTGTGAAAGTTTGCTAACCTTGATAGGCAGGGAAAGAGGCTATGGTAATTTACAGGTAAGTTGCTTTAATTTAGTTCCTTGGACAGTTTTTTTTAAGAAAATATCCTTGTTTTGCATAAATATGATGTCCTTTATGGAGTTTTAGCAACCTCCTTTTTCCATGCTGCCCTGTTTTCTGCATCTAAAAAAATCAGTGCAACTTGCTTTTCATTATGATGTTGAAAATATTCTATATCCAGAGCATTATCCTTTCATTCTACCCATTTCTGGGTAGAAATCCAGATTGGTCAGCATCATCATGGATAAAATTCTCTTTAACATTTTTTTAACTCTCTCAGCCATTTTTTTTTTTCTTTTTCTTTTTCTTTTTTTAAGGGGTATGGGATTGGTTTTATTTTGTGGCTCCAGATTTGAACAAAGAATGAAGTGGAAATACAACATACATGGAAAGTAGGAAATAATAGAAAGTGAGAAACTAAGTGCTTGAAAGAAAGCTCATCTGAATACTGCTTGATCAGCATATGAATCTGCACTTGGGCCAGATAATTGAAAATTATACATAAAAAAATATTGAGTATTATTATGTATTATTATCAGCCAGTCTTGTAAAAGATTTATACTCAATCGGTCAACAGCAGTAAATCAACCCGGTTGGGAGGATGCCGGGAATGCAGATAACCAAAGTCAACACAAGATAAACTCATGTTTGTTGCCAGAAAACACCTCTCTCAGCATGCATCTCTTTTAAACTCTCATTCCCAGGTATGCCTTGTGAAGGGAATCAGGGCCCTTTCCTCCCCGTAAGCCATGCAACCCACGTTGCTCCCTTCTCTGTTCCTCCCTGCGTGTCCTAGGATGAAGAGGGGGTGGGCCTGGGTCTTCCTCTGAACTCCTTCTCCCTTGTTCTACCTCTCCCCTGCTCTGCCCAGCCGGACTTTGCCCTTCCCCAGTTTCCTCCACAGCCAACAGAGCCCTACTCCCGTTCCCTGTCAGCTGTTTGTCTTCTTCCTCGGATTCAGACTCTGACAGGGGCATCACGCGGAAATCCACTGTGCTGAGTTAAGAAAGACGGAAATACAGGACAGGATAGCTCGGGGTCAGCTGATCGTTGGAACTACCAGTTCGCTAGAACCAGTCTGAACCGGCAGCAGCCCACTACTGCATATACCCGTCTTCACTCAAAGGATCTTCGGGCTACCTATTTTGTGGGCTTAGCAGAACTGGAGTAGAGACATGCTCTTTCCGTTTGGGAATCCCACCTCCCATGTAGGAAACTCAGAAGTCATGGATGTCATGAGGCTTGGGTTTGTAAGTGACACCGCTCAGCGTTCGGCCATGCCAAAGCGTGGCATTCTTTAGAGCCAATTAGTTTGGATAGCATTCTGCTGCACTGTATTGTGATTTTTATATAAGACACAGTGTAATTGCTTTGCCAATCATCTTGTTTCCGAAGCTCTGGAGAATTCCCCGCTAGCTGGACTTCTGTAGCCTTTCTCAGCCTGATGCTCTCCAGAGTGGTTGGAACTACCACCCCATAAAACTTCCAGCCAGCATGAGAGATGGTTGCATGGACCAGCCAGAAGAATCTGGGATCGTCTGGAGAGCATCAGGTTGGAGAACACCTGGAGTCCTCGGACACTGAATATGTTGGGCAAATGATTTTGTATACATCTGAGTTGGTGTCATAATCAAATATTAAGAGATGTCCATAGAGATGAACAGTTCGCCATGCTCGAATAGGTTGTGATGCTGTTAGCTTTCAAATTCAGTGGGTATAAACTGCCCACATAGCAATGATGAAGTGGGTTGGGTATGTGCCATAATCCACATCTGTTGGTTTGTTGCATCCTTGTACAAGTTGTCTGTTGCTCCTCTACGCAATCCTTTTCAGCAGAAGTCCGTTTTCCTTCCTTCAAGCATCCTTCCACACCTGTGGAACCTTGGGAAGCAGGACTTAACTTCTAATCCAACAATTCCAAAAATCGGTTGACTTAGCCGTCAAATCATACATCGACAGGCAGTGTTTTCCCTGCCAAAAGTAGCCATTTCCATCTCCACTACTACTGATCTTCATACTTGGCTGGCATGACCTTGTCTCAGCCCTCCCCCTGAAGCTGGTTGGGGGCAAGGAAGCCCCCCCCCCTTTTCTAGTTGGTCTTCTTCGATGAGCCGAAACAGTTTTTGTTTTCTTGGATTCAGGACGGATGGCTGAAATGCAGGAGGGGGAAAAAAACCATCCAGTGAGCCCAAAAACTTACTAAACTTCTAGACTAAGATTGGAGAAGGACCTGGGGGCTGGAGGTTGAGTGTTGATGTCACACTTTGCTTGTGAAAAAATAATAATATAGGTTTTGCTAAAAAAAATTCTGTAAACTGAAGGCTCTCGTGTCTTTTGGTGTCTCTTGGACTTTATCCCCAGGAAACATTGGTTGTGGGAAGAGATGCTTCCTTGGTGAAAGATTAGGACACCTGATACATCTTTTTGTAGGCATTTCCAGTGCTTGATTTTTCATGAGCAGGTTGTCCCAATAATACAGGTGGTCCTCGACTTATAACAGTTCGCTCAAAGTTATAACGGCACGGGGGGAAAAGTGACTTATGATCATTTTTCACCCGTACGATCTTTGTAGCATCCCCACGCGATCAAATTTCAGATGCTTGGCGACGACTCATATTTATAGCTGTTGCTGTGTCCATCCAAGGGAGGGTCCCTTAAGAAGTGATTCGCTTAACAACGGTAGCAAGAAAAGTGATAAAATGGAGCAAAAAACCTCACCTAACCAATGTCTCACTCCACATCAGGAACGTTGGGCTTAATCAATTGATTATAAGTCAAGGACTACCTGTTCGATCCTTTCGTTTCCAAATGCAAAAAAACCAAGCTCAGGAAAATCCCATCCCTCAACGACCGACTTTCCTCCCCTTTCCCCCCTAAAATGGGTTCTTTAGCGGACAAGGATGTGTAATGCTTTGTTGTAGGCCTTTTTCTCTAACTTTCGTTTGTGGAACAAGATTGCAACAGCCTCTGCAAATGAATTGAGGCACAAAGAATCAAGATTGTACTTCAGTTGCAGTTGAGAAGATTTATTGCTCGCGTCTACGCACAAGAATCTGGACAACTAACATTCAGCACTAAATGGGCGCTAGATAAGAATTAACAGAATGAACTAAGTCTAAGTACAGAGGGGGTGGACTTAAACTGTTTGTGGGAACATAGCAATTCTAGGCTGATGACTTGTTTGATTCCCCTCCTCCCCCAAGCTCTGTTTACTCTTTGGACAGGCAAGCATATAACTTGGTTATTTCACAGCACCAACCTTCCGTTTCATGTGTGGTTTTTGCCACCACGTCATACATACACAAGCCACCCAACTGGGTGGTTGTGGTTGTTGTTTTGCCCAGCCAGGACTAACAACCTGCAGGATCTTCCCTCCCTAAACTTTGCTTGCTGGTAAATTGTTCTGTGGTTCATTTAGCAACAGCTGTTGGATGCTGCCTCTGATGTGTGCAAACATTGATGATCAAATTCTTACCTCCTCTAGGCACATAGAGATGAAATCCAGCGTAAATTTGAAGCCCTTCGTAATAGCTGCACAGTGAGTATTCAACCCAGATCCTTGAATTATTTTGAAATCAAGAGGATGAGGAAGGAAACGGTCCACACACTGTGTTTTGTCTGCTCCTTGGAAAGACGAAGGCTTCTAGAAAGGGAGTCTTTGGCTTCCCCCGAGCTAGCAGAACCGAGACTGATCTGAATTGTTCATTTGAGAATCTCCAGGAAAAAGTATATATATAATCTTCTCTCTGGAGCTGTGGAAGCTTTCAATCTGGCCTTGGCCACTTCAAAAAAAAAGGCCAAAACAATTGGAAGGAAGGGAAAAAAAATAAATCTCATTTCAGTGCAGCTAATAAGAATGGTTTAAGCAGCTGCCACAAACGATGGGGATGATATGACATTTCCGGAACGGTGGGAAGTACCTTGTACCCGAACCCTCGGGCATCCAACCAGGCCTTGCCATCGCTCAGACGATACTCCCTCACCCTGCAGATTAAACTGGGAGCCCAGCAACCTCCCATCCTTCTCGTAAGGGAGGAGCCTTTTTCGTGACCGTCGCTTTTGGGATGGCGACGCAAAGCGTTGGCTTTCGCTGCAAGCAGGGGGAATGGCTGCATGCACGGATGCCTCGCCTTTTCTTTGCCGCAGGTTCCCCTTGGATGGGGGGGGGGGGGAAACCCGCCGAGCCACCCTTAGGTTTCCCTCTCCCCCCCCCCCCCAAATCATGCATGCAAATGCTCGCCTCCACTTTTCCTTTGGCTGCCGGCAGCATCTTGAGCGAGCCCCCTCGCCCTCTCTCCAATGCTCTCCAAGGCTGCAACTTGCATGCGGAGCAACGCATGCTAGAACACGCGCCCAACGAAACGAACGGAGGGCCCTCGAAAGAAGGGTTTTGCAACGAGACACGCACACACACACACACACACAGAGGGGTGGGCTTCAAACATTTTTTAGCAATGGATTCTTTGCCTGGTGGCTGGGTAGGTGTGGCCTAGTTGGTCTCCTGCATCATAGCGGGAGGGGGATGTTTTTTTTCCCCCCTCTCTGGACTCCGGAGGCTTTCCTTGAGTCTCCGGGAAGACGAAAACGGCCTTCCTTGGGCTCCCGAGGCTCTCTGGAAGCCGGAAACGGGCCCACTTCTGGGAGGCCCGTTTTTCACCCTCCCCGAGCCTCCCTGCACTTACCTGCATCCAAAACGGGCTACATGGAGACTCCTGGGAGGGGTGGGGCGAGGCCAGCCAAGAGTTGGATTTGGGGGTTCTTTGAACTGCAGAAAATCTTAGCTAGGGGCTGTCCTGAACTCCTGCAAGCCCCCAGCAGCTCACCCCTACGAGACACACACACACACACACACACATGGGGCAAGGGAAGCTGACATTCTCCAAAAATGCCCACTGGCTTCTGAGTTCAGGTAGATTTTTGAAGTGGGGCAGAAAACTTTAAAAAGAAAAAAAAAATGCATGCACGGGTCCTTTTGGTGGTGGTAAGAACCAATGACGTCCTATTGCTTTCTGAAGAAGTCATTCCTCTTCCCACTTGCTGTTTTTAAACTTCTTAAAAGTAAGTTCCTGGAAAAGTACAAGGCCCAAGAATTCATGGCAAAGATTGGGCCTCCCCAAACCGATGCCAAATCACAAATCCGTGGTTGACGTTTAGAGGGCTAGAATCGAGATCACGTGAAGTGTTCATGCCACTTGAGAATGCCTTGGTAATAAGGCTACGTTTGGAATATTGCATGCAGTTTTGGTCACCACGATGTAAAAAAAGATGTTGAGGCTCTAGAAAGAGTGCAGAGAAAAGCAACAAAGAGGATGAGAGGACTGGAGGCTAAAACATATAAAAATCGGTTGCTGGAATTGGGGATGTCTCATGAAAAGAAGGACTAAGGGGTTACATGATAGCAATATTCCAATATTTGAGGGGCTGCCACAGAGAGGAGGCCAGGGGATCAAGCTATTTTCCAAGGCACCCGAAGGCCAGACAAGGAACAATGGATGGAAACTGAACTAGGAGAGATTCAACCTGGAAATGAGGAATTTTCTGACAGGGAGAGCAATCAACCCATGGAACAGAAGTTGCCTTTAGAAGTTGTGGGAGCTTCATCACTGGAGGCTTCCAAGAAGATACTGGATGGCCATCTGTCAGAAATGGTGTAGGGTCTCCTGCTTGGGGTGGGTGGGTTGGAGTAGATGACCTCTAAGGTCCCTTCCAGCTCTGTTATTCTATATTCAATGGGAAAGAACTCGCCTTCGGAAGTTGTGAGAGCTTCATCCCTGGAGGCTTTCAAGAAGAGACTGGGCTGCCATCTGTCAGAAATGGTGTAGGGTCTCCTGCTTGGGCAGGGGGTTGGACTAGATGACCTACAAGGTCCCTTCCAACTCTGTTAAACCCCATGCCTCTTTCTGTAGTGTATTAATATCCAGGCTGCAGACTGGCTGCTAAATTCAGAAATAGCTCGGAGGAGGCTGTAAGTCGCTTCAGGAAGTTAAATCTGGAGAGCTAAAATATCCGTTACGGCAAACTCATTGACCCAAGCTTGAGCGGGTTTTTTTTTTTCCTGGCGTGCCTTTGATCCTCGGTGCTTTCTTCAATCAAAGGGCTGATCTGGTTGGGCACCGTTCACCAAAACGGTGTTTGCTTTCCTGGGAAATTTTAAAAGTCTTTTTTCATTAAAACTTCGCTGCTGCTTTTATTGCTGCCACCGAGTGGTTTGGTGCCTCGACAGGACAAATTTTGTTCTCCTGGTTATATTTCTTAGCAGGAGAACAGGAGGTGGAGGCGCCTGCTGTTATTCTTAGCTGAAAATATGATGCTAAACATGGGCAGCCAAGGGTATTTATGGCTCGTCAGGATGCTGGGGATGTGATTCATGAAAACATGATTGTGCTGTATATATAGATAGAAGAAGCATTTTGCATTAGATCTCTCAAATTCTATCCTGTTCTCCAAGTAAGGAACAGCCCACCTGCCCAAAGATCAAGGAAAATAACGTTTCTTTCATTTTATTTTTATTTTATTTGGGGGGGGGGGGAGATTCTCCTGCCTGAACCTTCTCCTCCATTGGTTTCTGCCTGTCTGTTTTGCCTCTTCCACCGAATTCGTTTCAGAAACCCTGCAGCCTCTTAAATCTTTTACACCTCTTTTACACCAGGGAGAAAAGAAAGCATAAGGCAGCACCGCATGAGTTGAATTGGAAAAAGGCCCTCGTCCTTCAGATTTTAATTTCGTGTCTTTTGTTGTTTCTTCTTCTTCTTCTTCCAGCTCTTTGAACAGCCGATGTACAAATCAGCTATTCCAAGGGCTGGATTTAGAAGAAGAAGGAAAAAAAAATGTACATGCTTTAATCTTGTATTTTATATTTTTAATTTTATATGACATAGCATGCCTTATTTTAATTGTGACGCTTCTGACAGGAATGAACAAGCGAACAATGGATGGTGGAACTGTCACAGTGTACAAATAGATAACAGATAATCAGAGTTGGAAGGGACCTTGTGGGTCATCTAGTCCAACCCCCCTCTGCCCAAGCAGGAGACCTTACACCATTTCTGACAGATGGGAGTCCAATCTCTTCTTGAAAGTCTCCAGTGATGAAGCTCCTACAACTTCTGAAGGCAACTTCTGTTCCATGGGTTGATGGTTCTCACAGTCAGAAAATTCTTCCTTATTTCCAGGCTGAATCGCTCCTTGTTCAGTTTCCATCTGTTGTTCCTTGTCTGGCCTTCGGGGGCTTTGGAGAATAGCTTGACCCCCTCCTCCTCTCTGTGGCAGCCCCTCAAATATTGGAAGGCTGCTCTCCTGCCTCCCTTGGTCTTTCTCTCCACTAGACTAGCCAGGCCCAGTTCCCGCAACCGTTCATCGTATGTTTTAGCCTCCAGTCCCCTCATCATCCTGGTTGCTCTTCTCTGTACTTTTTCTAGAGTCTCAACATCTTTTTTATAGTGTGGTGACCAAAACTGGATGCAGGACTCTAGGTGTGGCCTTACTAAGGCTTTATACAGTGGTATTACCTAATAGATATTAGGTATACCGATGTTCTGTTTGTTCCTTGTAGAGGCTTATACAGGTAACCCTCAACTTACAACGGTAGGTCTAGTGACTGTTCAATGTTACAATCGCATGAAAAAAGCGACATGACCATTTTTCACCCTAACAACCAATGTGGCATCCTTGTGGTCATGGGATCAATATTCAAACACAATTGATTCATATTTACGACGGTCACAGTGTCCTCGAGGAGGTCGCGCGATCCCCTTTTGCGACCCTTCTGACAAGCAAAGTCAACGGGGAAGCCGGAGTCGCTTAACGACCGTTGTGACTAACTTAACAACCGCAGGGATTCGCTCAACAGCCGTAGCAAGGAAGATTGTAAAAGGGCGCAAAACTCACTTAACAATTTTGTCTCGCTTAGCAGCGGAAATGTTGGGCTCAATTGGGAATGTACGTCGAACACTACCTCTTTGAAATAAGCTGGGGGCCGCTGGGTCACGACAGTGAGAACAATTAATCGGTAGAACAACTTGGCTCCCAAGGTTGTGGGTGCTCCAACTCTGGAGGTTTTTTTAAGAAAAGATTGAATGACTATTTGTTTTTGTTTATTTATTTATTTATTTATTTGGTTTGTCCATTGCTTACAAGATAGTAGGTATAAGTAAAAGCATAGTTATGAATACATGGATGCATTTAAGAAAAATTAAAAAAAAAGAAAAGAAAAGAAACAATTGGCCAGAATGGTAGAGTTTCTTTCTATAGCCAGGAGGGGGAAGGGGGGGGGGTTGGACTAGAAGACCTCCAAGGTATTAGTATTTTAGTATTTTTTGATTTGTCAATCGCTTACAAGATAATAGGTATAAGTATATACATAGTTATGAATACATGAAATGGGTACATATAAGAAAAATAAAAGAAGAAACAATAGGACAGGGACGGTAGGCACGTTGGTGCGCTTATCCATGCCCCTTACAGGCCTCTTAGGAAAGGGGTGAGGTCCATAGTAGACAGTCTAAGGTTAAAGTTTTTGGGGTTTGGGGAAGGAACCCCAGAGTCAGGTAGAGTATTCCAGACATTGACCACTCTATTGCTGAAGGCGTATTTCCTGCAATCAAGTTTGGTGCGGTTTACTTTGAGTTTGTATCTATTGTGTGCTCTTGTATTGTTATGGTTGAAGCTGAAGTATTCATTGACATTGCAATATATAATTTTATGTACCATACTTAGATCGGACCGAAGACGGTGTAGTTCTAGGTTTTCTAGGTCCAGAGTTTCAAGTCTGGTGGCATAAGGTATTCTGCAACGAGTAGAGGAGCGGAGAACTCTTCTTGTGAAACTCTTCCAACTCTTTTATTCTGTTATATGATCATAGTTTCCGGCCAGGGATGGGATTCAACCGGTGTAACAACTGGTTGGGTGAGCACACACTTCACCCGAACTGGTCCAAACCGGTCGAATCCCACCATTGTTTCTGGCCAAAGAAAAGAACCTGCTTTGTTCTCTTAACCCGCGTAGGAAATGTTTCTTTGCCAGAGATGAGTAGCTCTTTACGAAGTTCAGGTTTTTTTTTTTGTTTAAAAGAACTCCTAAATGTCTCCTCCGTCTTGGTACATAAGGAGCGTGTGGATAGCTTTCAGTATAGCAATGTCAGCATTAGCCTCCAGAAGCTCAAAAGAGAACATTTCAGCAGTTCCTTCAGGCGCTTGGGGTGAAGGCTAAAAATGCAATACCTTTGGCTTGCGATAGTGGATTTCTGAACAAAAATTGGCTTCTGGATGAATTCAGAAGGTGGCTTTCCTGTTAAGGGACAAGATTTCTTTTTCCACTTTAAACATTTGCTCATCGTGGTGACGTCAAGGCGGAGAGCAATTACAGGCAGCCCTTTAACATACAACCTTAAGGGAACCTGCCCATTACGGTCACAGGTTGTAACTGTCATAAATATTTTGACTTTTTTGCGTCAGTCAGGAAGAAAATCAGCGGTTTGACTATGGGCACAGTTTTGGCGAAAAACCAGAAGTGCCAATTTTCAACAAGTTTCTTAAACAAATCAGCGGTTTGACTATGGGTGCAGTTTTGCCCGAAAACCAGAAGCAAGTGCCTTGGTCAGAACAGTTCATCAATAGGATGATAATAATTGTGTATATTCCTGCTTTTGCCTCTGGCCCCTGCTCCTCAGCACGTGCTCTTCACATGCACCTGAAATTATAAGCAAAAGTTATTTTTTTGTAATGATTACATAACTACCAATCGGTCTATCCGCCTATCTAAGTTACCAAGGTAACCTTGAGTGTTGTACCAAGTTTTATAGCTAACCTGCAGCATGGGAAGGGGGTGTGTGAAACTATTTTCTTATTTATGTCCTCGCATCCGCAGTCTGCTTCACTAGTAAATTGAAATTCAAATGTGTCGGGTGTTAAATTCTTTTGCAGACGTGGTCCGTTTCCAACCGACACAAGAAGCTACTCATAGCGTTTAGTCATACCTGGATCCTTGTACAGATGGACCAATGGGTTTAAACAAGGAGTACTTGGGTGGGGGGGAATCACAAATCTGTGTTAGCCACATTTCAACAGATACAATGAACCAAGAGAAGATGCTCTTAGGTGGGCAATATCTAAGCACGGGAGCCACGTGCTCAGGATGTTTTTGAATTGCTGTGTGACATTTGCCTTGTTCTTATTCACGTTGCTTTATTCCTCCCGTCGATTCTTCCTCGGTTGCCGGGAAGAAAACGAAGACGCGACCATTGGTTGGGGACTCACAACCACGAGTGCAAGTTGTGTGCATTGGGACAACTTTTGAGAAAGCAGTTTTGTCATTAGTTGGCCCGGTCAAGCATGGTCTGGAAGCCCTTCCAAAATGATGGGGGCTTGTGCTTCAGCCGCGCAGCATGTCTTCGTCCAGTCGTTTTCCTCCCATTTTCTGACCGGCGGTCTATCCAGCAGCATTCGAAACATCTGGGGTGGGCCAAAGGGGCTTATCTTCACTCCCATTCTGCTTCAGTGGACCCCAGCTTTCTTTGCTTCGTAAAAGCCTTGTCGCCTGTCTGCCTCTCACTGACGCGCTTATATTAGCTTTGCTTCTCTAAAATGTGTGTGAATGGAATGGCAGGTGCTCGTCATATTTCACCCTGCGGTTTTTAACTGACCACCGAACCCTAAATGGTAGAGGGAGGCCTGTTAGCTGTTGGCATCACCCTATGTCCTGACCCAGCTCCCCAAACACGACAAACCCCCTGAAGTTAACTTAAAGATTTCTTTATTAGGAGCGCCGGCAGCCCCGGCACAAAAGTTTCTCTCTCACCGCAGGCTAACAAGTCTGTCCGGCAAGGAGATGAATAGTTGTCTGCCACATCTATTCATCTCTGCCCCCTGCCTTTTATCCCCAGAGCTAAGGTGGGGCTTTGCTAGCAGTGGTGGCTCTTCTGTCCCAAGGACCGGCCCATAGATTTCCACTGCTCTCCTCTCCTCTGCCTTTTGAGAATCTACACATCAGGCACTGGACCCAGCTATTCCTCCTCTTCCTCAGCAGCCACCTCCAGACCTGGGGGCTGTTGACTCTCCATCGGAGGGCTGACGGATGGCCCAGGCTCCACTTCCGTCTCTCTCTTTCTGCCAGCTCCATTCTCTCTTCCCCCTCAGAGCTCTCAGGTTGCCTTGATGCTGGCACCTCCTCTGATTTGGCTGCTGGAGGTGCCAGCGACCGACAGGCCACAACCACTCTGGTTTTCCTCTCTTGTTGAAGTAATCTCAAAAGAGTCACCTAACGGATAATCTGCCTCTCTTCCAAGGCCTCTCTGCAAGTCATCGGTGTCCCTCTTACGGAAGTTAGCATCTGTGGTCCGCAGTGAGGATAATACCAGGTTGGGGAAGATAAATCAATTTGCCTTATACCGTCATTTGAACACCTGCAGATCTGGCCAGGCAACCGCAGGCTGCCGATTGCGCGTTGCTCTTGCATTCTTCCAACCGAGGTCGTAGCATGAAAAGTAAACCTCTTACATTGAGGTGTATCTTACACAAAACGATCAAAGGACAGCAGATCTTCAACCTAGTTATGGGTTTAGCTTCAACCCCGGGCTAATTAAGCATGTGCAATTTATTATTATTATTATTATTATTTTGCAAGGCTGCATGATAAACTTCCAGAATGCCGTTTGAGGAAGTTTGGAAGTTGGCTGTCGGAAGACTCGTCGGCTTTAAGTTCTCACCTGTTTCTGAGATTTGTTTTCTGTTTCTCCTCCCGGCGTGTTGTTCTTTTCGTGTAGGTGATTACGGATCTGGAAGAGCAGCTGAACCAGCTGACCGAGGATAACGCTGAGCTGAACAACCAGAACTTCTTCCTCTCCAAGCAGTTAGACGAAGCTTCCGGGGCAAACAACGAGGTGGTTCAGTTGCGGAGCGAGGTTGACCATCTCCGTCGCGAGATAACGGAACGGGAGATGCAACTCACCAGTCAAAAGCAAGTAAGTCCTTACAATTTCAGTTTACAAAGGCCAGTTCTTGCAGACTCTCTGTTGTGGTTAGCCGGCAGCAGGTGCGGACAGCTGAGGAGAGCGAGGACTCAGAGGAGGGCCCAGGACCATCAGGGAGTGGACTGCTGCCTTCAGAGATTGTAGTAGCGATGAGGAGGTTCCCGAGGAGCCTGTGCCAAGTGCGCGTGCGCGCAGGATTGCTCGCAGAAAAGAGCAGTTACAACAGCATGGGTGACTCAGAGTAAGGCTGCAAGGTAATGCCCCCCCCCTTCAAGAAGATAAAAGCCAGCTGTGAAGAGAACGTTCTTTGCAGGAAGCAAAAACGTTTTGAAACTCAGCCTCATGGACATTACCGTATCTTAATCTGGTATTTGAACATTCTTGTGTTGTGAAATGTTATCTGATTCTTGGGAGTCTCGCACAATTTTGGCGAGGCTTGTGCTTATCAAAGTTAATTAGTTTGCAGCAGCCTTTTAACCGGGGATTCGTAAGACTCATTAAAAGGTTTCTGTTCCCTTTGGTTCGTGTTTGTTTTATTGGAAAAGTGTTTGGGTCAGAACACTCTCGTTCAACCACCTAACTAAATGCAGATACTTATTGAAAAAGGCTTGGTCCTTTTTCAGTACGTATCATTGAACGGGCTGTCAACTCATAAAGCATTCCTATGCCTGTTTTAGAGTTGCCATAAATGAGGGAGGGAGGGAGGGAGGGGGAAGGAAGGAAGGAAGGAAATCTGGAAGAGCAGTGCGGCAGTTTGAAACCAGAAGTACATTCCAACACTTATCTTAAAATGATTGTAAATAAGCTACCGGAGCTTTTGCCCGGGAAAATATTTAATTGGAGAACATGATTGATGACACCCAGCCCGTGAATGTGCTAAATCAAATTTATGACACACCCAGGGAGGAGGGGGGAAACAGGGTCACAGGTGAATGTAAACGATGTATGCCAGAGTTGGCTTCATACAGAGCAGTGCCAGCATGTCGCTCCTAATAAATCCTTCAAAGTTTTTTGAAGTTTGGCTCGAGGCTCAGTATTTCATTGGGGCGATCGTTGGAAACCTGACACAGGTGGTATAAACCATTGCATAAGGCTAATTCTTCCCCATTTTATGACCTTGGGAGCCCTGCCTCAGATTCTTCTAATGCTGCTGTTCCACTCTCCTATCTAACATGCACCATTCAGAACCGTGCCATCAGGCGCTTCTTTCCTTGAAGAGGTTCAGTAAATGTTAACAACCTCTTTGTAAGGAATCTAAAGGAGCTTTATTTTAGACTAAGATTATGCTCTTGAGCTGACGAGCGGTGCGGTGGCCCAGAGGTGGATCTCTCGCCTCACAATCGGGAGGCTGTGAGTTTGATCCTAGGTAGAGGCAGATATTTTTCTCTCTCTGGGCCCCCAAGGAGAATATATCTGCTGAACAAAACTCCGTACTGGCAACAGGAAAGGCATCTGGCCAGTAAACACTCCGCTCCATTCAGTTGCCAAGACTCCATCCCGCAAGAGATTATGGGTTTTTTGATTTTTTTAAAGGAGATGATGATTATGCTCTTCAGCCGAACTTCAGGGGGATAAAAAAAAAACCTCTGCTGGGGATTTATTTTTAGACCATGGAGGCCTTAAAGACCACCTGTACCATGCTGGAGGAGCAAGTGATGGATCTGGAGGCCCTGAACGATGAGCTCTTGGAGAAGGAGCGCCAGTGGGAGGCGTGGAGAAGTGTTCTGGGAGATGAGAAGAGCCAGTTTGAGTGCCGGGTGCGGGAACTCCAGCGAATGTTGGATACAGAGAAGCAAAGCAGGTACAACGGTCTCTTTGGCTTGGGTTTGGGGGTGACCGTAAATCGGTGAAAAAAGGAAGGAGTCGAAAAACAGGGGTGGTGCTAGAATCCAGCAGAACCTCTGGAAGGCAAGTGAGTTCAATCAAGGAAAATATTTGTACCTCAGGATTGAAACGAGGAATCCCTGGTGCTCTCTGAGCTTGGTTGTTTTCTTGGGGACGTTTCATGACCCAGCCAGGTAACATCATCAGTGGTAGAAGGGAGTGGGGTTTGAGGAGAGGAGGAGGATTGTGGGGTCCTTGGTGCTCTCTGAGCTTGGTGGTTTTCTTGCAGACGTCTCGTTATCCAGCTAGGTAACATCATCAGTGGTAGAAAGGGATGGGGTTTGCTGAGAAGAAGAAGAAGAGAAGGATGCTCTTGATGCTCTCTGAGCTTGGTGGTTTTCTTGCAGACGTTTCATGACCCAGCTAGGTAACATCATCAGGGCTAGAAGGGAGTGGGGTTTCCGGAGAGGAGGAGGAGGAGGAGGACTGTGAAGTCCTTGGTGCTCTCTGAGATTGGTTGTTTTCTTGGGGACGTTTGACACCCACCCACACACCCCTTTTTAAATGAAATATCCGTTCTCTAGGTGAACTTTACAGCGTAGTATTTTTTTCCCCTGACGCTTTTTCAAGAAGGAAACATGGACGGTGGGAAAGGTTTTTAAGAGTTTCAGGAAGCCAGGCTGTTGCAGCCTCGCTTTCTAAACCCAATTTATTCTCGGGCTCTTAATGAACATACATGGGCTATATATACAGAACTTTATGCCAGAGCATGACGTCGGGGAACAGAGATTGGCTGTTCGCCAGCCGCCCCTCACACACCGCCACCATCTGGCCCTCGTTTTCCTTCCGGATTCTCACGGTGCCAACTTGGTCCCCTCTCAGCCGAGCAGGTGTGGATAAGATGCATGGAAACGTAGGAAGAAGAAGCACCGAATTGCCACTTACCGCTATTTATTTATTTATTTTTAATGGAGGGACGATGGAGAGCCTGCTGTCATATGGCATGACGGTCTGGTTAGGAAGCCTTCCTGCTCCGGGCAGGAAGGCGGTACGAGAGAGTGGTGAGGACTGGCAGGAAAGAGGATTGGCAGATCGCTCCCTTCTACCCAGGATATGGCCGTATTGCAAGCGCTGCTTGAGCCGGGTCCCCAGGGTGGTTCTGGGACGCTACACATTCCCTTCACGAGCTCTTTTCCTTTCGGGGGGGGGGGGGGGGTCTGTGGTACCTAAATGCCGAACATTCCTGATTCGGTCACAGTTTTGTCCCGTACGGCATCAACCTTGGGAATTCTCAAGTTTCCTCTTTCCGCTGTGTATTCAGGATGGACTGATTCATGTATACAGATGTATGTGTGTCTGTGTGTCTCTGTGTGTGTTTTGCATATGTACACTTTTAAGAGCAGGCAACGGTATTTCATTTTTAAAGTGTGCCAGAGTGTCCACGTAAAAAATAACAATGAAGGTTATCTGTCTGTCTGTCCTATCCATCTATCTATATCTTCCATATAGATAGATAGATAGATAGATAGATAGATAGATGATAGATAGATAGATACACACACACACACACACACACACATTCTATATCTATCATCTATCCATCCATCCTATCATCTATCCTGTCTGTCTATTTATCATCTATCCATCTATCAGTCTATCTATCATCCATCCTATCTATCCATCCATCCATCCTGTTTATCATCCATCTCTCTGTCATCTATCCATCCATCCTGTCTATCATATATCTATCTGTCTATCATATCTTTCTGTCATCCATCCATCCTGTCTATCATCTATCTGTCATCTGCCTATTTACCTATCTACCTACCTACCTATCATCCATCTATCTATCTATCATCTATCTATCTATCTATCTATCTATCTATCTATCTATCTATCTATCTATCTATCTATCCATCCATCCATCCATCCATCCATCCATCCATCCATCCATCCATCCATCCATCTATCTATCTATCTATCTATCTATCTATCTATCTATCTATCTATCTATCTATCTATCTATCTATCCATCCATCCATCCATCCATCTATCTACTCTATCTATCTATCTACTCTATCTATCTATCATCTAGCTAGTTAGCTATTATCCTACCCTATCC